CATGTGTGAATTCAATTAGTCACAAATAGCGCGGCTTGCTGCTGCTGCGTGTAAGACAGGTCCATCAGCCCAAATCAAAACCAGCTTCAGCATTTATGGCGTACAGCAGTTTTTTTTCCAGGTCCTCTTTGCTGCAGCGGAAAGCAAGTTATGGAATCAGTGATGTTAAAGAAAATAAGTAAGTGGAGAAGAAAATGTCAATAGGAGTTTCTATTTAGCACCCCCCAGTGACTGATTAAAATGAAAATGTCAATTGGCATAAATGATTAAAGCAGTTGGAGTTGACCGCACTTTGTTAAGCATGACTTTCTACAAAGAAAATTCTAGCACAAACAGCAATTCAGTTTCTAAACCAAGAGGAATCTCAAGTTATTGAGTGCCGGCTTTCCTTTTCGTTTACCCATTTGACAGCTAGCCAGTCATTTTTATTAAGCGTATGTGAGACGGACAAACCTTCTATATGGTGGGAGCTCCAGACGGTTAAAACAAGTGCGTGCTGTGGGTAATCGGTCCAAAACTTCTTCAGTTGCACTGCCAGCAGCCCTGAAAAGGAGCACCAACGTAATTTTCAATTCCTTGGAAAAAGAAAGCAGCAGAAAACCAAAGTAGACCCAGAAAAAGTATCATGCACCAAACTTTTCTCAGCCACTTGGCTAATGAACAGAAGTGTCTGCTTTCCAGATTGCATTTTGCAAACTATTACCTCTGTATGGTAAATTCGGATTCGAGATATTTGAATCCAAGCAGAGGGCCTCGAGAGGAACCAGTCACAAACCTAGGGAGAGAAAAAAACTCTTCCAGTTATAATCCTTTCTGATAACCTATTATTTTTGAAGCTGACCAAGGTAGCTCTAATCAAAGAACTTGGCAGCCAATATTTATGGAACACAAAAGGACACTAATGAGGGATTATCAAAACAACTAACTTCAAAAATTTCTTCTTATCTTCCAGTGAAAAGCTTTTAAGGACTTCCCAAAACATCTTGATAACATGGTGCTCCTGAACAGAAAAAGAGGAAAAAAAAAAAAGAGATAACAAGAATTAGGTTACACAGCATACATAAATAACTGGCATGAAACTCATAAAATAAAATTTTGCACCATATCTCCACTTCAACTGGAACACAAATGAAAAACCCTAGCATACATGATAACCCCTTTCATCCAGAACCCAAACCAAATAGAGCATGGAAAGGATGAAGAGGGTAGGGTGGAGAAACATCCTACACTATGATAGCCACTTGTATAATTGGTGTGGCGTTGAAGGTCATCAACATCCAAGCTTTGAGATGAACCTGATATCAGAAGCTGCAAACCCAACACATCCATCAAATACGCTATTGAAGCCCAAAATGACAATACATGACAGCTTAATGTTTTCAGCATTAAACTTTGGTTAACAATTCATTGTCATTCACTAGCCACTTTCTGCAAGAATGATCCATTCATGCTAACTCTCATAGTCAAACTGCCTGATACTAATGCAAAAAGCTTTAAGCTTTTACCAGAGTAAGTTAGACAAGGTAATTGTTGGATGCAAAGCAAGCATGACCTCAAGAGATTAACAGTTGACCATCATACCTGCAATTCATCCTCGCTAAACATATTGATCCAATTTCTCTGCATGAGCTGCAGAAATCCCCTAAGGAAATGAGAACTCTGTTTTTGTATCTGAAATTAATATCATTCGTTTATGTCATGATCATATAGGGGAGAAGCAGCAGGTAGCATTACTTGAATGAATCAACCACCAAAAGTTTAAAGGTTAACTACCTGAATATTGAGACGGTGGTTAGATACAAGATAAATATATTCAATAAAATTATCTTCAGTAACACGTAGGTTTTTCCCTCCTGGAACCAGTTCCTCTTCAGCTTGCTCTCCATACTCATTATTCACAATTGTGAAGTCGAGCCCTAACTCAGAAATGTTCCTTTCATTATTGTTCTGTATATCATGGCAAAGTTGAAAAATGAAAAATTAGTCTAAAAATGGAGTATCATACAAATCAAAAGATGCAAAAGCTTTATGTATAAATCAAGAGTTAAAGGAAGATGGGAATGACAAAAATTACCTTCAAAGAGATAATGTTGTCATAAAACTCTCGGTCCAAGGAAGACAAGTCGTTCAAATAGTTGTACCTAATCAATGAAAGGGGGAAAATGCAAATATTAATGTTAATTGCACCATACATGGTATGGGTAGATAGATAAAGAAGAGTATCTTGAAAGCAGTCTTTGTCTTATTCAAGATTTTCTGTTTCAAGCTTGTAAAACCACATTTTTTTTCTTAGTGTGGCGATCATTGATCATTTACGATATGTTTAAGGAGTCTTTGTTGTAACTAGTAAAAGGGTTGACCCAAAATACCAGAGCCACTAACTTCTCCATTCCTAAGTCTAGTCCGGAATATAAAATTTTTTCACAATTTATCTGTATCAAAAGGTTAAAAAAAGAAGCAAAAGTCATTGGCCAATCAAAAGGAGAAAAAAAGAATAAAAAGAAGAAGCGATATCATGGAATATAAAGCCATCCTTACTTCTGTTTCAATTTACTCAAGAAGAATGTAGCAAATGGTAAATCTACACGAATCTCTTCAAACATGGCCTGCAGAGAAGACAACATGAACCCCATCAGGAAGTTGTGAAATAAATAAAATTGAGGTAGCATATGGGACAAATTAATGACAATTATATGTAGCACTAGACTAAAAGCTACAATAATAATTTGATTAAGTAACAACATCAGCTGTAATATGATACTCTTAGCAGCTCACCCAAAACAATGAGCTTTCAAGGAGGATTACATCAAATCTGAGGCCACAAATTTTGGGCAAAAATCCACATACAATAAAGTAGGTTAAAGCGTAAGCTATGACATATTTCCAGGAAAATTCGAAGGGAAAAAATAAAGTATTTCCCCTGTTATATAGGATCCTTTATTATAAACTACAAAACATGGACTAATCTTCCCTGGGCACATCTCATAAGAATTTATATAATTTGTTAATTGTAACATTGTCATTCTATATGTTTTTATTAACATGGGATATCAAGTATGATAAATAGAAGTTTGCATCTCATAAGAATTTATATAATTTGTTAACTGTAACATTGTCATTCCATATGTTTTTCTTAACATGGGATATCAAGTATGATAAATAGAAGTTTCAATGGATGACAAGCCCAGTAACCTTAAAGTAGAGTCATTGCAACAACCAAGACACCATACCTTTGCTAGTAGAGTTCCTAGGATGTGGTAAAATTGGAGGTGTTGGTCATGTATCATTCCAGATCCAGGACTCGGATAGAGAAGGTGATCAGCTGTCTCCTGGATAAACCATGCAAAATGGAATTTCAATCAAACATAGATGAAGACAAAGGTGCAAGTAGACAGCAATGGTGAACATGCAAGACAAATTAACATATTAATCAATCATAATTAGCAAGAATGAATGTAGAGATTTTATGGAAGGCAAAGAATAGGAACACCAATTTCCATCATGCATGCTCACAGTCAAGTTACTAGAGACAAACTCCAACACTAGCTAACAAATTCTGTCCTCTAGTTTGAACCTTCAGAGGGCACCTAACTTGTACTAGTATGTAATATGAGCTTAACTTCAATAAGAAGCACATAAGGGAAGAATGATGATGAGAGAGGCCCAAAAGCCAAGTAGGTGAAATCCTTTTAATGTTTTGTAAAAATTACATTCAAGAAAATCAACAAAAGAAAAGGTGGAAATGTATTAATCTATTTTTCCAATCTGTTAGAAGTTAAAACACAGAGAATTTTGTCATCCTAATCCCCTAGTCACTGCAAAAGTCTATATGATGTCCAGAAAAAATTATGTTCCTCTGACTCTGTGAGACATCATGGAATCATGCATCAATTTTTGGAAGACACATGCATACACCACATAAGAAAAAAGTTACAGACAAAAAGATATATTTATAACCTTAAACAACCCATACTGCACATCAAATGCAACCCGAGTGATGTTGTCCATAAAATCTTTGAAAATTCCACCCTCATCAATGCCAGGCTCCTCAACTCCAAAAATATTGACAAAAGTTATATGAATCTGTAAGGAAACAACAAAAAGTGATTATCCAGGTACTGGACAAAAGAAAGATGCTTTCATCAGATGACAGTATCAAGAAGGCAGAGAATTGATTGTCAAATTGCTATTAAAGAAAACAAAGTATTCATAATTTCAAATGTTTCAAATAAAAGAAAGAGAAACAAGTTACCAATCCTTGTAGATTCTCTTCAGACAATGCACTCATCTGATTACAAGCATCTTCCCAAATATGATTCCGGCGAATCCTAAACCGATTTCCAGTACTACATGCCCTATGCCGTTGCTTAACTACTGCTAGTTGTGCCTGGTAGATTGATTTATATAAACCAGTTACAAGCACTTGGAAAAAAAAATATATCAGTAAAGAATCCAAGTACATACAAATTAGTTTTCTGCTAGTAATTCTCCCTAGTTTTCACATAACAGAGACAAAGACACTGTGACATTCATATATCCTGAGTTGATGATTGCATCTACTAAACAATGCAAATATAATTACTTACAGTGAATATTTTGAATCTGCTAGTGAATGGAATTAAGAAAGGAGCTTGATTCAATATGTCATGTTCTTGTGTACCTTCTATTGCAGCCTGGAAAAAGACACTGACATCAAAACAGGCAGCTAAGCATATACATACACACACACACACACACACACACACACACACACACACACACACACACATATATATAATTCCCCGAATCACAAGATGCAAATCAGAAGTTATTACCTGAGAAATAAAGCAGTCACCAACGTTAACATGGAAATCACTAGGGGAAGTAAACTCACTTCTGTTGTTCCAATCTTGTAACTTTAAGAGAAATTTAAATTACAAAAATCAGAATGGAGATAAAGACCATAAATTTTACCATCACAAATATTATATTGAACATTAATGAACGAAGTTTACACATCATGTACAGACAAAGTGACATAATAGCCTATCGAACAAGGCCTTAAATCCAAAAATTTACATTGGTATTATACCTGCGCATGGAGCTCAGAGACTACAGTGGTAATCCTAATTTGAATGATTTCAACAGGTTGCCTCTTAAGTAAAGAAGAATCAGAGGCAGACTTTGCTGGATTAGGCTGAGCTGTAGGATTTTCCCATAGGAGCTGCCACAAAGCCTACAGCAAAGTAAACAACAAAAAGGCTAGAGTTAAAAGTGTGTATGAAATTCTACATTCAGTACAGCCAATATGCCAAATTAAAATTGGTGCCCTTATAGTTATACTATTGGATGTCAAAGTATCAACGATCAGTCACCAGCAATGCTATCAACTACTCAGAAAATATTCATAAATATTCCCATATCAAATAAAATACAGAAAATATAATCAGTCCAGTTACAAAAACTAGCAGTTGCTTTGCAACCTCTATTATTGGCATTCTAAAATAGAGCTTCAGCAAAAACAACTTACGTGTGTCAGAATCTCAATTAGACATTTGACATCTTCCAATGATAGTGGCTTCTCCTGCTCATAAAACTCCTCATCATCAACTATCATAAGCATGTACCTGATATTCAAAAAAATTGTGCCCTTACATCAACCTCATACCTTAGCATCAGAAGGGGATAGCAAAGCCAAGTGAATCAAGAAAGAATTATAACATGAGCTGCATATGATAAAACAAACACAAATCAAACAAATGCCCTTACCTGTAGACAGGACAGAAAACAGCCAGAGGCAATAGCCACCAAGGTGTATTCCCCAACAAATGTGAAAATTGCAATGGCAAGAATGTCAAACAGTTACGATTGTCATAACACCACTTCACAAAATTCCAAAGCTCTAGAACAAGGTCATTTCTTCTAGACGCTAGTACATTCACGATTTGCTCAGGGGGTTTAGTGTTGAAAGTGGCATGAAGAAAAGCACAAGCAGCAGCAACAATTTGCAGCTTTTTGTCATCATCTGGTCCTTCATTTTCTGAACCATGGATGAAAGATGGCCCTTTAGATAACACCTTATTCTGTGCCAAAAGAGCAAAATTTTGAATTGTTGCTTCAATGTTGAAAAGGGAAAAGAATGATTTTTAAAGGATGGATAAATCTTCTAGAAATTAAGAATCTATCAAGATGGTATACCAATTGCAGAAGAAAGCATGAATATATGGCATTGTTTATCTGCTCTTTCAAATTGCTATGCAGAACTCCTACTGTTACTTCATCACCAGGAATTATTTCATCCCCATCCAATGTAGAACCTGAAAATAACAGTTGAATGCCTTTTCAATAAAGCAATTCAAAGAAACTATAGAAGACATCAAAAAATTTAACTTATATAAGTCCTAAAGGCAAATGTTATTCTAATACTAAGAAATTTCAGCAAGAAGATAATCTCCATTGGCACATTGAAAGAAAGAAGAGAAAAGATCGCATATATCATTAAACAGGGCATACTTTCTCTGCTTCCTCCTTTTTCTTCTCTTCTGGATTCTCTAGGAGGAAGATCCTCCAACAACGTTGCAAAAGCCACAAGTTCTAGAACCTGGTCAAAATAATTCCTCATGTCAGTGAAGCTCTTCAGGTTTAAAATCTCAAATACATACTTTTGTTTAAACATGCAAATTCCGCAATCCACATCAGTTACTTCAAAGTAAAATTTTGCAAGCAATGCATGTTGAATCACCTCATACCGATGCTGACATCTGAAACAGAGTCAAAAGGGTAGAATAATAACATAAACAGTCTTCTCATTATATGAATCAGCTTCTTACCTTTTCAACCGAACAATCACACTGATCTAAAGCAAGAGCCGCAATCTCTAAAACGTTACCAAGAACATAGGCACAACCAGGAAACTCAGTTGCTACATCACTTGGTAGCTTATTGGCATGATTTTGCGCAAATAATGCCATCTGACTAATGTAATGCTGACTTAGTCTCGTAGACACGAAATCCTAGTTTAAAGATCAAAATATTGTAATACGCTCAACAAAATTAAGATATTTTGAAGCATAACAAAAGAAATAAGTAAAAGCAGCCGATTTTGTGAGGAAGTTAGTTGGATACAGTAAATACTGCAAAAGAAAAGCTTCATACAAAGTTTTCAAGCAGCTCATCATGCATGCCATGATGTAGCCTGAAAATTAACCTAAACAGAAAATGTAATGAATGATCAGGAGTTCAGTATGGAAGAAACCAACTACTTTCAAGTATGGGAAAAGCTGCCATAAGAAGGGCACTGTAAGAATCTGTGATGAGAAACAGAAACTCAATTCTGCACCAGTATCTCGAGAAGTAACTAGCTTTTGGGCAATATGGGATGCTATACGGGTAAGCACAGCCTCCACTAAAGATTGCGTTCCATTTGAACCATGTCCCTTTGTACTTGCCTGCACCACATAATAAAGGTGGTTTCTCAAAAAAAAAGAAAAAGAAAGAAGTAGTTTAAGAAAAGCTGTTGGCTCGCAAGAGCGTAATCTGAACCAACCAATTCAACAAAAGCAAATATCATGAAATTTTACTAGTTCAAAGGAGTTTATGTGGAAAAGCATGGCTGTCAGAGAACAGAAAACCATAAGAAGGGTACCTTAACTGCAAGAATAATTTCTCCAAGTAGAGTCAATAGATTTCTCTGAATGAGACAATCAACCACTTTAGAAGCCCATGGACGTTCAGGATCTATCAACAATAGAACTGCCTGAAGCAAGATGGTTGTGGGTAAGCTATACTCCTCGGAAGTCGCTAAAAGTTGATCCTTCAAATTATTTCTGTCCAAAGAAAAACCAAGACTACCATCAACCCAAATAAATAGAGACAGACAGACTGTTCACTTGAACACTCTAATTCAAAATAGTTTTTGGAATTTCACTCTTAACAATTTACTACTCTGATGGCATCCAAATTAATATTTTGTGGCCCTCGTTGAAGTGTACAACAAATTCGATAATAACCCATGTTGATCCTTCAATTTATTTCTATCCATTACAGAATACTGATCTCTCGACTCTTGAATTTGAGTCGTTTTGGTCTATAAACTTTTCAGACAATGAAATGGTCCCTAAACTTATTTTATTGGCTAGGAAGTTGTCCTCTGTTAACGGAGAACCTGAATTCTACCATTTGTGAATAATAATGAAACCTGAGGAAAAGGAGAGAGGAGATCAGAGGGAGTCTGAGAAAGGAGACGAGCGTAATTCAGTAAATATGTTTATATTTTAGTTTATTAATTGCTTTACTGGCTAGAATCTTATTGTACAATGAAAGTCATGCATTCATTCTTTCCCTCATTTTTGTTTTTTCCTTTTAGGTCTCTGAAATGTAAAAAGAACTGCAAAAACCATTGTAAACATCTAACAAGGAAGATTCATCAGGCGTACAGATGGGAGGGGAAAAAAATATGAACTAATAAAGCTACACCTAATTGATTTAAATAAGGGGAGGATTGCCAAACCTGTTCTGATGTATAGCCTGCACACAAGCAAATGCCAGCTGCTGCACTCTGTATTCAGCTGAAGCACGATTCAATGAATAGTTGGTGCCTGCAAAGAGGCTCACAACATTTCCTGTTGTATGATAAGCTACTGTCATGACACAACCAAATTTTAAGCCAAAAATAAAAGGAACTGAGCAATAAAAAACTACTAGATCATACATGGATAGGAAGGTAACATCAGATTTGAGAATTGTAGAAACATTCACCACCAAAGACATTTCATAAAATCAAGTAATCATTCCCAAACAAAAGACACAAATCCAACGGTATAAGAAAACAAACAATCTTTCCCAGTAAATATGCTACCATATTGAACAAGACCAATTTAAAAATACCCTTATATTGTTGAGAATTACTAAATATGATTAGATGCAGAAATACATCATATTACTCAACATTCAACTAGCTATTCATTAGACGACTCTTTTAGTAAGTACTGATGAAAAATACCACTCTCTTGAGCAAAATGCTGAAGTAATCGGCATGTCTCAACGAGGACTGAAAAGTCATCAGTATTTTTTGCATTGAAAAAGAAACATAGCTGGCGGAGGAACCCTGAATCTGGGCCAAAGCAATCCCTGCAATTCAGAATTAATGATAAGATGAAGCTCGCATTCATTAGATGGGGACAAGGAGTTGTTCAACTTCAACCAGTCTACATGCTGGGAAGGATATAACAAACCTGTCCACATTTTGGCAGTGTTTCCCATAGGTTCCACAGAACTGGTCACGTACTAAAGACCGTGCAGCTCTCACTGCCCGTCTTGCTCTGAAGCATTTCTGTAGCTAGTAATGAATCAACACGTTGCAGAAAACGAAACACTAGAAAGATGCAATCAAACAGCAGTTCCTCTCTGCGAAATTAGAAAGAACATGCAATAGACCTTCACAATCCCCTAAGTAAACATTGTTACATTCTCCCATCTATTTATCAAAGATCAAACACAACTTATAGAATTTGGTGTTGAAGCATTTCAATTATAAAAATATTAAATTTCTTCCATAAATCATCTAATAAATACCATAAGCAAATTGGGAAAAGCATGAAATCTTCAATAGACACAATCCAAAAACATTAAATGAATCCAGAATCAGCATATAAACCGCTATCAAATTAGCTAGCATAAACATGACACAAATAATTTCAGCACACCAACTTCACCAAATAGTCTGTATTCCACGCTCATCTCTCGCGCCCATCTATATAAGAATAAAAAACAAAAAAAAAAAAAAAAAAAAAAAAAAAAAAAAAAAAACCAGATTCGAGTCAGAGCAAAACATAACCTGAATTGTGAGAGCTGCAGCAGACTTCTTTCGCAACTGGAGGCGGCGACAGCGGTCCAACTGCGCTTTCTTAATAAGTGCATCGCTATCCATCTCCTTGGGGCTCCTTCCTCTCAAACTCACTCGCTTCCGAGTGATCCACTCACCAGTGAAAAACATTTGAGATTGCATCGTAGATCAAACTCACCACTATTTTGAGAAAGTCAAAATCTGTCAAAATTTGAAGGGCCAGCAGAGTCGAAACTACTAGAAAGTTCTGTAAGCTGAAATTTTGAAGACGAGGAGGAAAGATCAGGTCTGTGAAAGAAAGCAGGGGAAGTTTCCCTCTTTTAACTTGCTAGCTACTTTACCGATCGAAATGGTACTTTGCAAATTGAGAGAGTCGGAATTGATAACAATTTCAAGGGATTTTAGGTGGTGGAATTAAAACTCCCAGAGGACGCGACAGGGGATTTTGGACGGAAAAGATAGGCGAGTTCGCGCCATTAGCTTGTATTCGTTTATTATTACATGCGAAGAACCAGACTCTAGTGGGGACCACAACAAGCGCATTTGTCAATAAATGAAAAAAAAAAACAGTGCTTAACTTAGTATTTTGCACCGATGTCTTAACTTAGCACATTTTTAGTCCTCAACTTAGAATTCTGCAATAAACCCCATTGAAGGCCCGCCTACGTGGCCCGATATACAACAGAAAATGGCAGTTTCCCTAACTTTATATTACGTGGATTTTACACATAGGACGATGCGTTGAGTTGAGGACAAGAAATACAAGAAATAAAACCACGTAATATAAAGTTATTAAATTTATTTAATATACCATGGGGGGTATATTTCATTTATTAAATTTATTTAGTAATACATAAAATTATAAAATTATAATTTTATTTGATATTATAAATATATATAAATATATAATATCTTATAAAACTGTAACTGCAGTATCTTAGGGGTAATGGCCATTCCCTCCAAATCCAGTCAATCAAAAACCACCGGTTCCGCTGTTTCAGCAAGACGAATTGACAAATCTACCCCCCTTTAACAACCTTTTCCCTCATTCTTTTGTCCTTTTCTCGTTAGTTTCTTGGTTAAAACCCTTTTTTGGTCCCTGAACTATTGTACATACCCCCGATCTGGTCCCTGAACTAAAAAAATCCCTGATTTGATCCCTACTATTTACTATTTTTACCTCGATTTGATCCTTTCGTTAAAAATTGTGTGACATGACCTGTTACTTAACAGTTACCAGATGACATGGCATGTAATAATCCACGTGTAAGATAATATAAAGAAAAAGTGATGATGTGGAAAAAAAAATAATATAAAAAAATATTATTTTAGTTGAATACCAATTGTATCCTTCGAAAACAATGCTCAGAGATTTTGAGAAAAAAGCAAAACAGCGAAAAATTGTTGTAAGAAGTCAAAAAAATTGGCTCAAAATGACAAAAATGTCATCCTTCACAGGGGCCCAGTCACTGTAGCAAATGGGAGCTGTTTCTTCCAGCAAAAGATAATATCAGCCTGCCTTTTACTTCTTTAGAAAATATAGCAAAAATATAAGCCTCTCACAAAGGCCCTGGCAGTGTAGCAATTGTGATAGGGGAATTCCATTTCCTGTGGACTGCTTAATTTGTCTACTTCCAAGCCGAAATTGTTGTTGGCTTAATCAATGATATGTAATTTTCTTCTGGAAAGTGAATATAAGTAATTACAAATTGATGTAATTGATTAAAATGGTTAAATTCGTTTTCCAATCAAAAATATAAAAAGATTTACTTCTTGAAATCCATAATCAATTATCTTGGATTATAAATGGTTACAACCCTTATAATCACTTATATTTTTTTTGTGTAATCATTCAAAAATTCACATTGATATTTGTGTTAGGATTTTCAAAATCGTAAGGCAAGCCATATTTTGTTTTACTAACGACTACCCCAAAAATGCCTTCGAGGCAGGGAACCTAATCCAAGAGAAATAAGAAATAGGAAACAAAGTACAACAAACACATTTAATTAAGCAACAATGCGACTAACAGGTTTTAACCAATCACATCCTTCAAAAAAGAAGCAAGGCCCTTTTAAAACACATTATTATGAATTCAATTTTCATGATTAGAGAGTCTGGCTTTGACAGAAGATTAGAGATTGCCACTGTCTCATTTTCATGCGTATCAAGACATGTAACTAAAGAATGGTTCCTCTTAAACTTCCATCCAATTCGAAGAGAAATTTTAATAGCAAAAAAGCCATATAAGTACTTGAACTCAAGACCTTCACAAATTCATAGCATCATATATTATGTATTTTTGAACTATCTAATTCAACACATGTCAGACCAAAAATGAGGGGGAAAAGGAAGGCTCAAGCCTTTAATCCGATTCACAGAAATGGCAATAGTCACTTTAGCAGTAGGGATTTGAGTTAGCACTGGAAAAAAGAAAAAAAAAGAACAGGAAAAACAAGGATTCTGCAAAGGCAAACTAAAAAAATTAGGAAAACACTATCAGAGAGAAAAGAAAATAAAGAAGAGAGAAGAGAATATACCTGTGAAATGATTTGAATTTCTGTTGGACCATGCAACATAACATCCTTCCAATAACAAAATAGAAACATACCACAAAATCAATTTTTTTTTTTAATCGAAGTAATGATTAAGAATTAAAAGTTAGAAGTTAAGTTAGTATTTTACTCATAATAAGGTTTGATTACTGATCAATGTATAATCTACTAACAACTCTTTTGAACTGTAATGACCAGCAATAGATCACAACGAATGCACCACAAAATCAAATTATGCACATTTTTTCAGTGCATATCCGGTACATCTGGAACAATAAGTGGAAGACAGCTCACTGGTGGTGCTGGGTTCAAACTTCAAACCCCATCCAACCCATTTTCCTTTCCCACTGGTGGGCCGACAAGTGTGACAAACTTAAACCCCAGCCAACCCATTCCTTTTCCCCTCCCTTTTACCCCGTCTGTCCTAATTTACTACTCACAGTTTGATCATACACATACTTTTAAGGAATGATTTTTATGCGAAATTTTTATTTTTGTAGTTGAAATTATATTAAATTATAAAATAAAAATTATTAAAAAAAATCTTCAATATCAAGAATTTTAAAATTTGTCCTTAATCTAAAGATTTACATTTTTTTGTTATTTGATATAATTTTAATTATTAATTTTTTTTATTTTTATATTTTTCTCTTTGTAAAATAGTTATTGTTACTGTTATTTTTTTTTAAGCAAGACAAATTTCATTAACAACTTTTAAAATTACAGGTCCGAAAGCAGGGGATGGAACATGTATAATTGTCATCAATTCTACTCAATATTCATCGTGATTTTATACTTTTTAAATGGTCTAATACTACAATTAGTAGCTCTAGAAAATTCTGAAGACTTGACACTACTTTAAACTCTTATTCTAAGATAATTGAAAAACTAAACTATGAAATGATGGGGTAAAGCAAACCCCCACCATTCCCACCTCCATTCGATGGAAACTCTATAAGCCCCGTAACTAAATCCGTCGATATTGGGTCGTCTTTCAAAGAAATAGGAATGCCATTTTCCTTTTTCCGTCATGCAACACCCCTCATAAACGTACCATATACCATCTAAGAGGAAAGATCTTAAGCTGAGGAAACCGACAAAGGTCCTACTCTCTAACTTTGTGGGGATCATGTATATCAATAGGCTTTCCATTGCAGCAAGAAGTGGAGCAGGTAATCTTAATTTCACAAGAGGGAGAAACTTTTGAGTGTGTATTGAAATTCAATTTTGAGGCATTGAACAATTGTGCAGGGTATGAAGTTAGGGATTGAGACTTACCAAAGCTGCAGGAGCAGAGTACCTCAAAATTTATATTGATTTACAACCCATTGTGAATCAAGTTAATAGGGATTTTATTGTTACAATGGCTCAATATTTGTATTTAACCATACAATTTTTACTATCATTTCAGGCATGAGTTGGGCCAAGTTAAAAGATTAGAGAACCTTAATGCTCTGCCCATGCAACAGGAGCAGAGCTAGTTAGATTCAATTCTCACCTTTCTTAAAAAAGAAGCCTTACCAGGTGTTTGGTTGAACTAAGTTTCGTTGGTGGTCCCAAAAATTTTGTCCGATTTGAGAAATCTCTTTTTAAAATCCACGAGTTGTTGTTGTTGTCTTTTTTTTTTTTTTAAATCCCCCAATATTCAAAAATTTATTCAACCATCAATTAATTTCAATTTGAATTGGATAGAATTCAACAAGAAATAAAGCTTTTTCTCATAAATTTTAATAAAATTACATTCTCAAAACCTAAAATTAAAACATTTAATTAAGTTAAAAAAAACTCCTGTAAATTCATCCACCTAATTGTAGGTAAAATCTACTGGTTGTTTAAAATGAAGGCCCAGAGCTTTTGTTACCCTCAGGTCCGGGAGGAGCATGTATATCATCAAGACTGATCCCAAAATCCAATCGATTGTGTTAGTCAATGATAGCAGTTGATTGATGCAAGGTATTTTTAAGATTTAAAAAAAAAAAAAAATTTTAACATGGGGAAAGTGGGGGAAGAAAAAAGTTATAAAAAAAAAGGTGCGAAAGTCGAATGAAAAAAAGGAACAAAATAAGGGTAAAAAATTTCGAGAGTTTTATTGCCGCCACAAAATGAGAGAAATAATGAAAGGTGAATTGTGTCTAGAATGATCGGATTATAATACGTAATTATAGTAGCAGTTTGGGTGGTGGTCAAGAAAGACAGAACCAACTTTTAATTGAAATAATTGAAAGGGAAAAACTGAAAAAGGAATTGGCTGCATTCAACCCTGTCTTGGACTTTGGAAAGTGCCTTTCCAAATTGATTTTTAACGGTGGAAAAGTACTTTGATGCTTGCTCTCCTAAATCTTTTTTAGGATTTTCGTTTAAAAAATTATTTGTAATTAATATTTATAAAAATTAATTATTAAATGAAAAATGTTATTTATATAAATTATATACAGTAATTTTTAAATTAATTTAAAA